CAGGCGTTGTTCTTCGGAAGTGATCAGGTTTAGGACAGTTATTATTCACAGCGGGTAGAATTGGTTCCCCCCTCCCAAATGTTCATTTGTTACTAAGAATTTCTTTTAACATAGTCTTGGAGTTTAGTGCTGGTTACAGGCTGTCCTACCCTGTCTTTCGTGTGCAAACATTGTTTAAGAAACCATTAAGGTACTAAAGTACAGTAAAATTAAATACTTGTAAGTGTTCTTATGCAAGCTTAAAGCTTTTTCGAATGTATTAAAACCTATCAAACCACATTCTATCACAGTTAATATGTTTCATAGGATGAAGCTTTGTGATGGAATGTTAATGTCAGCACCCTCTTTATTTATACACCATGGAAAGAAAAGGAGTAGTAATTAACACTTTGACACTCCCCCATTGGTGTGTAATTGACTGTTTCAAAGGAGCACTGGTTCATAAGTAATTGCATGCATGAAAATTACTTTTTCTGTATTGCAGCATTTTAGGACAAGGGTCAGCGACAAAGCAAAAATTGTTCAGTGATGCAGTCTTTTATATTACTGCATTACAATTTAGGGATACTAGTATTGAATAAATATTTTCATAAAATCAGGGTTTAATATTTTTGTGGGTTTTAGTCTCTAGAATATAATTTGTTTCCAGTGGATGAAAAAATGTAGTTCTAAACCAGTTAATGAATACAATAGAATTTTTTAAATAATTTTGTACTACGTCCACTTGAAGACATTGGGTTAGATCTACACATTTCCCCTTCAATAGTGTTGTTGACTTTGGAGGAGACAAAGTAGAATAGTGACTTTTGCAGCTCTATCCTGGCTATGGTCTTTTTTTCTCCAAAAGTTTGAGATCTCCAGAAGCACTAAAGATGGCAAGAAGCCTCTGCTAGATCTGTATAGTAGACCAAGTATATTAAGCTTATATAATAAGCTTAGCTTATTTATTTATATACTAAACTGAACCAGTTCCCTTTATACATTAGTAATAAATAGGCTACATATGCTCTTTTGAAATATTAAGATACAGGGAATTGCACAGAATGCATCTGATACCTCTTTTCTTGACAATTCATTTAACCCACCTACGATTATTAATTCACCTGGTATGTGAAGAATTCCATAAAGAATTAAGATATTTTTAATATTTCTAAGCTTAAAAATAATTTTTCGTCCTCTTTTACTTGCTCCTCTCCCCTTGTTTCAAAATTATTAACAAGCCACACGAAGCTATAAAATCTGTTCAGGAAAGGCTCCCACAGGTGGCACCTGTTTGTTACAATGCATTGCCTTATTAATGTTGACAGGTTAGGCCAACAGTTGTATTATCTTGTGTCAACTGTGAATCACCCTAACATGTTCACATTTGAATCTTATCATACAGACAAGAGGCAACCTTTTTACTTTTAAAGGGGTAATTAATGCTTCATTTGCATTTGTTAATTAGAGTTTATGCACAACTAATTGATTTTTGGTGCTTGTAGATTTCTATTAAGCCCAGTTAACTGTAGTTTCTGAATCACCCTGTTTGGTTGAGTTATGATGATCACATTTTTGTTGAATCTGTGCCAGATAAATAGTCTGCATCATAATTATTGCTAATTAATGCAGCATTGGGTCTGGTAGTAATGTGCTTACTGCTCTTAAATTAATATAACAATGTTATTAATTCAAATATAAATATTTGTTGTGCATTTGGATTTGCTTTGGCAAGTTCTAAAATATAATTGTATGGTTACAATAGTTTTATTCAGTTGCAAATTGATAGAAAAAAATTGACATATAAAAGCTATATCCAACTATAACTTTGAAATAGTTGAATGGCTTTCCTGTACAATTCCGTATACAAGACAAATTGGTTTCATATTTGGGAGGCCTGGAAAGGAAGATCTATTACACAAGTAGGTCTTCTTTGATGCTGGATGAGGCATAGAAATGTACTGTATACTTGATATTTCATGTATTAATTCATAAATCAAATATTTATCTAAGTTCTCTCAATGCTCAGTAACATATATATATAATTCAGCAAAACACTTTCCTCTCATGTAACACTAGCATAAGAAAACAGTGAAATTAACTCTTCTTTTTATAACTCATACCACATTTTAACTGTGTAGATTTCTTACTTTTCTTTCTTTGGCATGCCCGTTGCCAAGCAATTTTCTAGCTTCTTTACCATATGTATTACATTAGCATGTTGTCACTGCTTTTTTTAAATATCTCCATCTCTGGAAAAAGAAAATGGCGGCGGAGGCGGCGACTCTCGTCAGCGCGCGGTAGAAACTGAGGAGAAAGGACTGGGTTCTCCTCCCGCATGCTTAACGCCCTCCCCTTTGGGTCGGTCCGCGCATTTTCTTCCGCCGTCTTCCATCTTTCGGCCCGAGTTATTTTGAGGCCTAAGCGGAGAGGACTGTCGGGGCTTTCCTCCACCGCCAGCCGCAGCCTTCTTCAACCTGGCGCCCTTCTGCCGGGACGGACTACGGCGTCCATTACTCGCGGCCCAGAGACGCATTAGATTGAGGGAGCTTCCCTTTTAGCGCCTTTTTTTATTTACCTCCACCATATCTCCATCTCTGATCTGATTTCATTTTCTACCCTAATACAGTTTCTTTGCTATACTTTATAATTACTAGTTTTTCATCTCTTCAAATCAAAAATATCCACACTCCCATTTTTGTTTTGCTTTTTTCCTTATTTCCCCTAATCAAATCTTTTCTCGTTTCATTTTTTTTGTAAGATTGCTATCTTTCAGTAATTTAATTGGATCTAATCAATAAGTAATATTTTATGGCATAAAAATAACCCTGATAAGGGATATTTATGCAGCAGTTCTCAAGGCTACTTTGGACAAAAGAAAAATAATAGGCGGTCCTATTTTTCCTAACTTTCCTTGAGATTTTTCTTTACCTGCCCTATATTTTGAGGAACTTTATATTTTGAGGGTCTACCAGTGCTCTGGCAGGGTTGTATAAGCATTAAATTGGGACTCAAATTAGCAGAGGTGCTCACTGTATTAGAATTCCAAGAGCATTATAACAGTGTTAAAATAGTGCTTACATTTTGTATGCATTGGTGTGTTGGTACTGTGGTGTTTCATGAATCTCTGCAATTTATGAAAAGAATCTGTTATAAAAACTGATTTTTTCCCTAAATCATGTTATAAGAAAATCATTTGTCAGCATCTACACGGAAGTAATTACATCTCAATATTCTCTAACATAGGTCTGTTGCATGAACAGAACATGGCAAAAATGAGATTGCTTACCTTCATGGGAATGGCAGTAGAAAATAAGGAAGTTTCATTTGACACCATGCAGCAGGAACTTCAGATAGGAGCTGATGACGTGGAAGCATTTGTTATTGATGGTAAGGTAATTTGTTAAAGTAGTATAATTCACTTCTGTTGAACATTTATCAGTTGTATGAGCATGCCGAATATAGTTAATTTTTGTTAAAATAAGTATTTTATGGCAGAATGTATAGAAATAAAAAATGCACATTGTGTTTATTTTAAATAAATTAATGTATAAAATACTTCCTTGTAATAATCCTTCCTGGATTGAAATAAACCCCCATTGAAAGAATACAGAGTACTACAAAGATATTTTTTTATAATTTTAAAAGGAATTCGTTATATCTCATTCTGTTTTTGTTTTATAGCTGTGAAAACAAAGATGGTGCATTGCAAACTTGATCAAACTCAGAGAAAAGTGATGGTCAGGTGAGTCCTTAGTCTTTTTCTGAACCCACATAATGCGGTCCTGAGTATAGCACTTACACATATCTGCTTAATATTTTAACTAGAAGTAATATAATTCTTATCAGTTTCCTATAGTTAAATAGTTGCTATTTATCATAATTTTATTAAAGTTCAGACTGAATGTGATTAGCTTATTTAATGAAAGAGTCCTATTTTCCAGCACATTTCATTTAATGGCCAAACAGTGGCAAGAATACTAATGAGTACTGTATGATGGTTTTTAACTGAAGGCTGCAGAATCCTAGAGTAGCTGATGCTCGCTAAGCAGAGTGAAAAGGTTTTTTTTTTAAAATCTAGATTTCTATCTTGTATTTTCTAAGTAGGTATGTATGAAAAGTGTAAGATTTTTGTTACTTTATTATTTTTTTACATTTCTTTAGTCACAGCACATATCGGACCTTTGGAAAACAGCAGTGGCAGCAGTTATATGACACCCTGAACTTCTGGAAACAAAATTTAAATCAAGTGAAAAACAGTCTTCTTACTTTGTCAGATACTTGATTCTTCATTGATTTATCTCATTGAAAATGGATGACAATAAACCATTCGGCTTAATTCTGTGGATTTCTTTATTGACGTACTAAACAACAGTTGAATTTTAATGCATTACTTTGCCTTGCAAATTTGCTTAAATGTAGCAGCAGAAGTAATAAAATCCATTTTTATCATCTTAATAATACTTACTGTGGTGTAAAATGGGAGACAAAAAAGTAGCAGGCTGACTTAATAAATAAATAAATCTGTTGGTGCTGTTATCTAGTCTGGTAATGAAACATTCCAGAACTAAATGAAAACAAGCTCAGAGAGCAAACCACTGCCAAAATCTAAAACCTGAGTTACAAGTATTTTCTATTATTTCAATAACTATTTTTTTTCTAAAATAATAATGTTCTGTGGTATCTAGAGGTCATTTCTAAGTTTGGAAAACTCCAAAGATATTGTATTAGGATTCTGAACTATGAAAATAGAGATTAGCTTGAGAACTAATTTACATGTAGTACCCTCATTTTGATTGCACTCATTTCCCCCTAATGATTAGCAGTAAAAAAGAAAAGTTTTAAAAGAAACCATGTACACATATCTCCCAACGGTCAATCCCCACTTGGAGAATAGAGAAAAATTAAGGATTTTTGCAATTACCAGAGCAGTTCAACTTTTCTCATTTCACAAGAGGTTATTTTTAGCGCTGAATGTAACAGAAGCATGAGAACAGCCAAAGACATGCATTTTGGAACAATTACATTTCCATTTTTCCTGATATCGCTGTTTTTTCCAAATATTCATACTTTCTCTTTCTGGACTGGCAGAACTTTTCTAAATACAATAAGTTTTCAGTTTTACTGATTTGGGTGTTCATGAAGACATTTTGTGAATTCCCATCTTCAATGCTATGTAAGCTCCCTTTTACAGTAGCTGTATTGACTTCAGAGAGCAGAAGCTGTATTGACTTCATTTGCGACTGTGACAGAATCTCTGTTTTGGCCTAAAATGTAAATATACAATATTAGAAATCCTTTTCTATGCCTGATTGCTCTACGGTGTATCTAAAGGACAGCTATACATTTTTCTGTTAAGTATTTTTATATATTAGGAAAAAATAAGCTAGAATCTCTGATACTTATTTGGGTGTATTATACTGTAATATAACTGTATCTCAGGCATGTCCCTGATGCACTTTATAAAAGGTAATTAAACTGACTCTTCTGAATTATTGTTGGACAAGATTTTCAAACACTACCCTATTTATAGTAATTTAAGATTATTGTGTCTTTCTTTATTCATATCAGAAACACCTTCAAATTATAAACATAACATTCAACACTGAGCAAATAAGAAATGAATAAAATAGCACATACAGCACACGTAAAAATATGTAGGATTAAAACTAAATGATATTTGCCCAGTATCAGCAACAGCATTTTCTCTCACCAGCATGAGGATTTTCTCTACCCATTAAGTTGTCTCAACATTGTGTCTTGACATTGGACATTCTTACATAACTTTTCTTTGGGGTATAGAATATAAAATGGATAAGCTGAAAGAGATGATATAGGTCATCTGGTGAAACCCTCCTGCTTAATACTGGAAACCATTGAATCATCTCCAAAAGAGAGCTACCCAAACCTTATTTAAAGCATGGAGAAACCCCCAATGTTCCTGGCAGATTGTTTTACTGCTTAACAGTTCTTGCCATCAAGAAAGTTCTACCAAATCTTGTAACTTCAGTATGAACATTTTCTAATTTCCCACAGAAAAAGTCATTGCTACATCTGCAAAGGAAACCCTTTCGAATATCTATAGATCGTGATCATGTCTCCCTGCAGTCTTTTCTCTGGAAAGCTAAACACGCCCAGCTCTTTTAACGCACAGGACTTGGTTTCCAGACTCTACATCATCCTGGTAGCTTTCCCCAGAACTTCCTTCAGCTTCTCCATGTCCCTTTTTAAAATACAGTGCACAATGCTGGCCATGATGGTGCTATTACTTTTATGATCCTTATGCAGTATTTTTTTCTAATGTAGGCCAAGATGGTACAAGTTTTGTATAGATCTTCACTGCTTATTCCTGTTCAGCTGATGATCCACTAGTCCTCCTTGATCCTTCTCATACGTTACCACCATGCTAGGTCTTCCCAATCCTCAGTTATGGAAGAAGCAACAGAAGCAGGAACATACAAAGTTGAATATTCGAGGAAATTCAGGAACCCAATCTTGGGGTGTGGCTGCAATACACAAGCCTGTTGAACTCATTTTGAATTGTAATTTTGTAATGATGTTTTTGCTCCTCTAACTCGCCTTAAACAGTTGGTTAGAGTTTTGTGACTTTCTGCTACTATAATGGCAGGTGGGGGGTGCCTTTGCATCCTACAGTAATGTAATAGCAATTGAAAGAGACTCAGGCTATTCAAAAATGTGAGGAGGGCTGCATGAAAATTGCAGTATATAACTGCATAATAATAATAACAACAACAACAACAAAACAACAACAACAACAATAATAATAATGTTGGAAGGGACCTTGGAGGTCATCTAGTCCAACCCCCTGCTCAGGCAGGAAACCCTATACCATTTCGGACATGGCTGTCCAGTCTCTTCTTAAAGACTTCCAGTGTTGGAGCATTCACCGCTTCTGGAGGCAGGTTGTTCCACTGGTTAATTGTTCTCACTGTCAGGAAGTTTCTCCTTAGTTCTAAGTTGCTTCTCTCCTTGATTATTTTCCACCCGTTGCTTCTTGTCCTGCCTTCAGGCACTTTGGAGAATAGCTTGACTCCCTCTTCTTTGTGGCAGCCCCTGAGATATTGGAACACTGCTATCATGTCCCCCCTCGTCCTTCTCTTTGTTAAACTAGACATGCCCAATTCCAGCAACCGTTCCTTATATGTTTTGGCCTCCAGTCCCCTGATCATCTTTGTTGCTCTTCTCTGTACTCTTTCTAGAGTCTCAGCATCTTTTTTACATCGCGGTGACCAAAACTGGAGGCAGTATTCCAAGTGTGGCCTTACCAAGGCATTGTAAAGTGGTATTAACATTTCACGTAATCTTGATTCTATCCCTCTGTTAATGCAGCCTAGCACTGTGTTGGCCTTTTTGACAGCTGCAGCACACTGCTGGCTCATATTTAAGTGATTGTCCACTATGTTTTTATATATATAGTATTCTCCATTGAATACAAATGATATTGAATTCATTTCCATGTTACAGTTTTCTTGCTTTGATTTTCTTTGGAGTTCTGATACACAGTATTCAAAATGTACTTTTGGTTAACTGCAAGCATATAATTTTATATCTTTTTGATTTCCTGTTTTTGATTTATTTCAAGGAGATGATTAATATAAATATGCAAAATGTTTTCGAATTCAAACGCTCAAACGCTCAAAGCATTGCTTTGAGTTCAAACAAGTTCAAACTTTACCATAAGTTTTCTGATACTGTTTCATGTATTCTGAAACTTGAACCAGGACCAGGAGAATAACATGCCTCTTGCCTCTGAGAGGGTAGAGCAATCTGATTTTAGTTTAAAATATTATGAAATTTGAAATAGTTGGTTATGGCATCAAAGTAGAAAGCAGAAGATTATGAGTTCTATTCCCACCTTTGCCATGAAAGTCAGCTGGATGACTTTGGGCCAGTCACACATAAGTCCAACTCACCTCACAGGGTTGTTTGTGGGGGGAAAATAAGAGAAGGAAGGAGTATTGGATATGTTTGTTGCCTTGAGTTATTTGTAAAAATAAAAGGGGGGGTACAAACAAACAATATAAATAGGAATCCCTCTTTAGTTGCTGCTAACTTACACAAATATACCCCAGTAAGTTTTTTTTTAAATGCCAAATTCTCATGACTTTCCCTTAGTCTAAAACCCAGTCCATAAACCAGCTTAATGTTGTTAGGTATTCCAGTTTTGAAGCTGTGTTTTCCTTTTCTCCCAACAATTTTTGCTATGGATACAAATTGCAATTTTGATCATTTTATTGCAGTCAGAGGTTAGGAAGTGCCTAAATCCTTTAGCCACTGTAAGCGGCTGCAAGCCTGCTTTCTCTCCTCCGGTCATTCAACTTGGCCTTCTCGGTCATTCTGGACCCATACAATGCCTGAGCTTTGCTTTCCACAGTGCTTCTTGGATCTTAAGCATTGATTCCATGTAATCTGAAGCTTCATTCTCTTGAAAAAATTTAGACCTGTTTGTTGAATATGAGTTTAGTTTCTTTTGAAAGTGTTCTGGCTATCTAGAAGTTTGATTTGAACCAGGTTCTGTTAGATGTTTGAACTTAATATTATTACCAGGAAATATATTGCACATTTTTGGCAAACAAGGTTTTTATGTGGCCATACTTTTTATTATATTATTTTACACAAGAATAGCATAGCTAATATCTGGGCAATAATCTTGGCACTATATCGATCTATGCCCCTTTCTTGTAAGATGACTATAATTTTCCCCCTTCTGTTCCAGCTCTAAAGAACTCTGTTGCTTAAACAGAAGCCTGCATAACATACTCAACATTACTTTTAGATTTAGCAATCAGACAATGAAAGTAGGGGGGAAAAGAAAATAAAGTCAACGTGTTATAAGTTGTATTATATCTAATACAGACTTACAAATTGCTTGTATCTGTAATAATAATTAGAAAAATAAACAGAAATACTGTATTCATATTTTTTTTTACTTGAAAATTTTTTATGTAGACCTTGCCTTCAAATAAGCTGTCATCAATTTGATTTATATGCTGTGACTTTTCCCCCACTGTTTTCTATCAACTTTAATTGTGAAAAATGTTGCCACATTTGCCCTCTTGATATTATTGTGGAGATCAAGTCAAGTCTTAAAGCATCAAGATGCATACAATTCTATACATAGCTCTGAAGTTAGCTCATCAAGGTCTGCTCTGCAATAATTTTAATTGACTTACGTGTTCTGTGGGAAAAAGAGGATCATAAAAACTGTTTGCTATTGCATTCCATTCTGCACTGGGATTTCTCTTGGGGATTGGATTAGTAGTTCCGGTATTCAAAGAATCAGCAATTCTACTACTGCAAGCGGAAACTGATCAAGAAACAGGAAATAATAACAATTATGTTATTTTCATATAATTTTACTGTGCCAAAAATTAAATTTACTGTATCTTTTTATTAAACTAAGAAAAATACCTTAGTTTAATAAATATAAAAAATATATTAAAAAAATATAAAAAAAACTAGAAAACTAGATATAAAAAAAGAAAACTAGTATCAAAACTTAGTTGTATATATCTTTTGCTCTCCTTGCTTAAAGAACTTAAAAGTATAAACTACATACGTGTTACTTGATTATCTTTAGCAAAAAAAATCTATAATTTGTCAAGCAATACTATCCATGTTTGTTCTGTTCCTCCCACATTCCAAATGTTTCTGGAGAAGGTAGGGGGAAATCCATTTAATAAATATCCAAAGAAAAACTCCATTGGATATTATACCAAGACTTTATCAGTAAGTAGTAGCTTTAAAAAGAATTTAGAGTTCAGACATTAAAGGCAGGTAGATACCACATTCAGACATCATTGAACTATACATTACTTCATAATTTTCTCCAGAAAACTTCCATCCATTTCTCCAGTTCTGTCTACTTAACCAAGTATTATTTAGAATTAATAAAGTAAGAAGAGGGTGACAGCAAAAGAGGTGAATAAACCAAGTAGTGGAAGCCACAGAAATGACTAGAAAGAATAGAATAATTCACAAAAGAGAAAAAACAAATTAGGCCAGCGGTCCCCAACCTTTTGGGCACCAGGGCCCGGTACCCTGGAGAGAGGCTTTTTTGTGGACTTGGAGTGGGCATGGTTTCGTATGATGCCTGCATCCTGTGGATGGGGCTTTGCTTGTTTGCGGGGACTGGTCTCTGACATGACGTGGACCGGTGCCAGTCCACAGACCGAGGGTTGGGGACCCTGAACTAGGCAACAAAATTTTCCAGCAAAGGTCTGCTGGATGCCATGAAAATAATTGTACCTTACAAGATCATCAGAGCTCATTGTCTTCTCTGAAGCTAGAACATTACTCTCTTACTAATTCTACAACATAGTCAAGTTAATCCATCTAATGTCCTTCATAGTGGTTTTGCTAGCATACGGTCACACTCACTGAGTAAAAGACCATCACTTTGGGCCTACCAATACCTTATCCAATTTTTCCAGGAAATCCTTCGCATCACAAAAGGCTTATATTAGACCACTGTCAAAAGTTCATTATATAATCCCTTCCCCACCTCAGCTTTTATGCACTCTGTTTGTTCCACCTGCTTCCTTTTTTTGCAGCAAACCCCTCCCTTCTCTCCAAATTCTGGCACACATTGTGGTTATGAATGGGTGTCAATGTATGACAATTATTATTGTGGCTATATAATTTTAAATAACTATTAGCATTTAAATATTTTCTTACCTGGTGTTTCTTGTCTTACATCACTAGGCATGTTTATGATCTTATCAATTTTTCTTGAGCTCTGAGCAGTTTTCATTTCTTGGGAGAGAGGCCTTTCCTTCAAGGAGCCAGGCATTATTTGAATTTCCTCTTGACGTTTTCTTGATAAATCTAAGTATTCTGTTTTTTCTTCCACAACTGGAAGGTTAAAGGATAGCCTTCTATTTCTGTTTATTAAATTTTCTGTTGTCTTCATGAGCAAAGAACATGATTGTTTTGTGCTTTCTTCCACTGTTATTTTCCTCATCATTGTATTCAATGATTTTTCTCTTTCTTTTTCTTCATTAAGAAATTCAGTAAATTGCTCACTGTTGTCTTTGGAAGTATGGAAGTTTATCTGTTTATCTTTGGCAACTTCATTAATTTTCATGTCTCCAGTTTCAGATTCATGTATATCTTGAGAGTCCAGGAGCAAAACCTTTGTATTCACTTCTTTCAATTCGGAACTGTAGTTATCAAAGTGTTTGCTAGGCATTTCATGTACACCTGTAGCTGAATTTTCAGTACTTAACGCTCTTCCCAGAAGTAGATTATTAATGTTTTCATCAATATGAATATTTATACCTATATTCTTACTGGCAGATATATTATGTTTTGGTGATGTTTTTTCTGCATTACTAATATCATTGTACTTATCCAAGTTACCTGTGTTGATCTCTGGTAACAATATAGAATCCATTTCAGATTTCATATGGTTATTTGCAGTTTTCTCACAAGTAATTTTAATTTGTTCTTTAGGCTCTTCACTAATTTCTTTATTTGCCAAGTAATCTTCCCCGTGGATTGTATTATTAATATTTTCAGTACTCTCAGAAATGCCTTCATTTGCAACACCAGCACCCAGATGATCAATAGAATGTCCCAATTCTATAGTGGGATTAAAACAATCTAATTTCAACACTTTAAGAAAGTCTTATGTTCTTCTACTAGCAACAACATCATAGAATAAAAATTGTCCAAGAGAATTATTTCTGCCTTTGCCTGCCTTTTATCAAGTAGGGTTTTTTTCCCCCTAGAACTGCCCTTTCTTCGCAATTAGCACTCCATGATTATAGGTCAGTTCTGGTGTAATTAAATTGAACATATAAAGGGCTTTGCTTAAAACGATTTCCCTTTGGCTTTTCTTTTAAATGATCACCCTCATTCATACAATTAGCAACTCATTTTATATCTGTTAAAATCTAGAATATATTATTAACAATAAATTACTCAAAAATAAACTGCTTTTAAATATGTTTCACGTAACATGGACACATGCAAAACGCTTTTCTAAAAAAATAGTAGCAACTCCTAGTAGTGGAAACTGCAAAAGAATATAAAATATTTTACAATTCATTAATGTATTTCTATTTCTATACATTTTGGTCATGCTTGGCTCCCGATGTACTAAAGGTTTTCTATCATCCAGAGGGAAACTCACCCTGGAAAGCCATAATGTTTAGAAGATAGAATATAAAAGCAGGAATAATGTCACTCTATCTCTGTATCCTTTGCTTTTTCCAGAGGCAAGCAGTTTGAAGCATGGATATTCATCAGAATGACAAAAACAGCATTGTACTGCAAGCTTCACCCATATTGTATGTGCATGTGAAATGACTCCGAGCTGTAATGTGTCTTTAGCCCCCCCCTACAGAAACCCCCCTTTCCTTCAGTTGTCATTTTGCAGGACCATGGAAGTATACTTCTGTATCATGGTACCTGGGCCAATTTGTTGATGATCACCTATAAAGCCCTATAAGGCTTGGGACTTTATTACTTCAATACATTCCAAGGATGGCCATCCTTGCAAAAGATAGTTGTCCCATAAGCTGACCAATGCTTTCTCTATATTACAAATTAAGTAATTGAAAAATTACTTTTCAGCCGTCACTCCACTTCCTCATTATTGCTTTTTTATCAGTTAAAAACAACATATGAGAAGATGGGAAAGAATTCTACTACCTTGACTACAGATAAGTGGAAGGCAGAGTCAAAGTGCTGTGGGCCAAGACAAGGCAAGTATTCTTATCAACAAAAATCTGCCTGTTTTATACCTAGCTTCAATACATTACTCAAAGCTTTTCCACCTCTATGCCAACTGAGCTGGAAGTTAATCAGATGCAGAAACACATAAACTTATGAGAACAAGTGACATTGTTCAGATGTGGAGGGGTGTTCAATGTTGGTGTTTCTGTTGGCATTGTAAAAAGGAGGAGGAGTAACTTTCTTCATACCTTTTTACCATATTGACTGATTATCAACACTGTATGTTTTAATTATGAATATTTATACCTTCAAAATATTCTGTATCCTTTTCCCCTATGTTTATACCAATGTCTATCTCCAGATTATTGTTTCTTCCATTTTCTTTTTGTTCACGCTCATTCAAATATTCCATTGTAGTTTGTGTATACTTATCATCTTTTTGGTCTTTAAGGATTTGATTTTCATTAGATATGTTTTTTACCTGGAGCAAAAAAAAATAGTTTTATTTTTGAAGATATGAAATTGAGAGACATATGATTTCCTTTGTAATATTTTTTAGCATTGAATTTACAAATGAAACAAAATAGTTCTAGAGTTCAAAAAAAAAATTCTATTCCAAATGCCCCAAAGATGCTTTTTTCCAAAAGGCAACTGGTCTTTCTTCTTTTTTGTTTGAAAACATTTCACTTCTTATCCAAGAAGTTTCTTCAGTTCTAACTGATTGGAGGGGAATAGAAGGATTTACGTTCTTTGCAATTATCTAGTTGTTAGCATTCTGAGAGTCAGTTGTTAGCTCTCTGAGAATCATTGAGGCCACTTGGGGGGGTTTGTCTGTATTCTCAGAGTTACAGTACCTGAATCAGAGAGTATACAGGTATGGAACTTTCTTGGGGTTGCTGAAAGGACTGCATTGTAAACAGGAGGTAGGTGATGTCATATCACAGTGGTGGCGAACCTATGGCACGCGTGCCAGAGGCGGCACTCAGAGCCCTCTCTGTGGGCACACAGGTCATGCCCTGGAGATGGCAACTGTCCCTCTTCAACCAGCTGCCCACTAACTCGCCAAGGTCCCAGAAGCATCCCAGCACCCATGCGCTCGCTGGCCTCTGTGTGCAGGGGCCGATAGTGTCAGGCAGCCGCCACCCCTGCCCCTGCCACACCTTGCCCTGTGACAATGGCACCCCTTCCCTGCCTCGCCTTGCCTCACCTCACCCCGCAGGATGAGCCTCCTGCCCACCGCCCCACCTGCCAGAGACCCCCTGGATCTCCCCCAACCCTGCAAGGCCCCCACAGGCATCCCTCCCCATGAGCAACATCGAGGTGATCACGCCCACCTTGGCCACTCCCACCCAATCTGCCATGACCACCTGAGCCACGCCCACCGGTGATAAATAAGTGGGTTTGGGGTTGCAGTTTGGGCACTCGGTCTCTAAAAGGTTCGCCATCACTGTCATATCACTTCCTCTCTATTGGGCTGTTCAATTTTAACATAGATGGCAACTTTGACACCTCTTTCAAACTAATAGTCCTCTCTGTCCAGATTGTGAATTTTGCTGTCTTCAAAAGAATGGCCCTTTTCTTTCAGATGCAGATGGACAACATGGCCTGGATGATTGAGAATCTCCACAGACATTCTATTCCAAATAGGAATGGTATTACTCCTTTACACCCAGGCATACATTCCAACATATATACTAATAAACATAACGCGAGGGAAACAAATAGCAAGCAGTCAGGTATGCATTTAGATATACATTACCTGACCCTGAATAAATAGCAGAAAGCCCACTAAAATGTTTTCCCTCAGTTTACTTGAAATCTTTTAAGTGCACTTTTCATGTTCAGTTAAAAATTAAATTAGGCATATTACAGATTTTTATTACATGGAAGATAGTGAACTGAAAATTCTAATTCCCTTAATTTGACATGAAGCAGGAGGAAAGTAATGGATTAATAATAATAATTGTGGGGAGAAGAGATATTTTTTTTAGTCACTTTAAGGGAAGAAGCCGAATAAAATTTGCACTTTTTGTTCCTAAACATTGTAGAAATCATAGAAAGATCTTTATAATTCTGTAAGATTTTAAGTATTAAGTTTTACACTGTTAATTTTTATTGATTTCATAACAAATATTATGAAAGACATAAGTGGTTATGAATTTAATAATAACAATTAAAATACAGTTGGAAATCATAAAATATATGGAAATCAGTGATGGAAATTTTTGGATCTTACAGAAATACAGAAAAATACAGGTAGTCCTCGACTTACAACAGTTCATTTAGTAATCGTTCAAAGTTACAACTGCACTGGGAAAAAGTGACTTATGACCATTTTTCAGACTTATGACCACTGTAGCATCCCCATGGTCACATGATTTACATTCGGTTGCTTGACAACTGACTCACAATAACGACGGTTGCAGAGTCCCAGAGTCATGTGACCCCTTTTACAACCTTCTGATAAGCAAAGTCAATGGGGAAACCAGATTCAGTTAACAACCGTGTTACTAATTTAACTGCAGCGATTCACTTAACAATTGTGGGAAGAAAAGTCATAAAACTCAATTAACAAATTTTTCACTTAACCACATAAATTTTGGGCTCAGTTGTGGTTGTAAGTTGAGGACTACCTGTATAGTATCCTAAAGCTAAAGGTTTCTCCTGTCCAGTCATTTCCACCTCTGGGAAGCAGTGCTCGTCTCCATTTCTTGGCCGAGAGAGCCAGACTTGTCTGAAGATTTTTCTGTGTCATGTGGCCAGCATGACTATACACCGAGGCACACAGAACGCTGTTACCTTCCCACCGAAGTGATACCTATTTATCTACTTGCATTTGTGTGCTTTCAAACAGCTAGGTGGGCAGGAACTGGGGAGCTCACCCTGTTGGGAACTCACCTTGTTGCAGGGCACTCTGGTCTTACACCTGGGCTCTTAGCTTTCCAGCTAACAAGCTCTGCATCTTAACCCGCTGAGCCACTGTGCCCGGCCCACCCCACATAGTGTCCTACTGTAGCAAAAATAATATTTCTTTGCCTTCTTTGGAAGGCTTCAATGGAACATATAAGTGAATTATAATATACGGTAATTAGTAAATTTTGATTGTTTTCAAATAAAATTGAACGTCAGTTACATTTAAACCAAGAGCATTCTAAATTCATGGCACATATAGTACTACTAACCATTTTTTTGTTTTTAAAAGATTAATATTATAGGATGTGATAGCCAACCTGCACAATATTTTTAATATTTTTGTATCTGAGGAAAAATTTTCAGAAAACAATTGTGAAATTATCATTAGGATTGTGCATGCTAAGAAAAATAATTCAGCACAAGCACTGCACCTCTCTGCTATTAATTAAAGCAACCCCTCTTCACCAGCCTGGAAAAAAAGTTTCTGCTTTAACATTTGTATTATCTTTAATGAGTTGACTCCTTAAAACAGCTAAACCTTTTCTAGCATCCTACAAAAGTCTGGAAAAACACCATCTGCTTAAGGAACAAGACCAAATCACTTCTTCCAAACAATTTCTAAACCTTGCACAACCCAACTAATCACACAGGAAATATTACTGGATGATTACTGTCAGTGCTTTTTTTGTTAAAAAAAAAAAAAGGTGCCGGAATTCACACATGTCATACAACCCGCCTTGCCTACCCTACAAGGTTCCATCCAAAAAAGGTGCCGGAACTTCGTTCTGGGCGTTCTATGAGAAAAAAAGCCCTGATTACTGTAGATGAAATGTATTAAGTAAATGTGGGGAATGTATTAAGTAGTGTTGTATAATATAGACTATTGTTTACTATACTTTGCTACTCTTATTGATACGTCTTCTTTTGTTCAAGAAATAGTCTAAATAACTTTATTGGCAGTTACTGTGTTTATCTTTATGTCTAGCATATTAAAAACTTCTCTTTCAAATTTAATGATAACTAGAAGTATTTGCTATGTAAGAGTATACAAAATAATGATGTTACCTAGAACATCGCTCATGATATTCTACTCCTCCAGTAAAATAAAGTTTTGTTTAAAACTTGAAAAAACCCAGTAGTGAGTTATTCAAAAATTTAAACTCTCAAAAAGGCGAAAGATTTACACAATCTGAAGAGAAACCAGATTTATTTTATTTTATAGTTGTCAATATATTATTGCACCCATTACTCTCTGTTAGTCCTGATTGTAATTATTGTCTTTTATTTCCCTTTATATTATTTTATGTTGCTTAGTCATTGACTGAATAAATAAGTTTTAAAAAATTCTCAAAGTATTATTTGAAAGTTTTTAGTGTACCAACTGGATGGATCTTTTAAAGGCAAATATTTTTTGTCCTATTCTTATTTTTGTCATCTTCTCCTAGGCTTCTGATTTTATTTGGAACATTTTGCTTAGTACTTGGTAACTCTGTTAATACAGTAGTATTTGATTAATAAACCAACCTCATTTTTCCAAGTTGCTTGTACTTTCTTATATTCATTCAGAAGACTAGCTAACTTTTGTTCATTTTCTTTTGCATTCTCCCTTTGCATCTCATTATCTCTTTCAAGGATCTGCAATAAAATTAATTATCCAAAAAGTAATCAATACCACTTTAATGAATTTTGATGTGTTTTATGTTGCTTAGACCTTTTCTTATAACATGCAGAAAGTACCATACAGATCAGTGATAATGTGCTATCACAACAATAATTTTCATAAATTAATAGGAAAAAGCATATAGTTTAGTTAACCCAAAATAGGTTATAAAAAATAGCTATAAAGGGGTATAAGAATATTTGTCATTATTCAGTTTCACTGCATAAGTTTTAATGCACTGAGAAATATAAAATACAGACCTAAAAAATATGAAATGTAGCACATTCCCAACCATGGTTTATGAATATAAACACCATAATAAAAGCAAAATATACTTTTATTAATACTTTATTAAACAAATCAAATCTGAATTTGTTTTATTAATGTTGTATATTACTTACCGTAGTTTTAAAATCTAATTATTTTAAGGATTGTGAAAAACAACACAACAGCTATTTTACTGAGTTATTTTTGTTTTGTTTATACTCATTTGATTTTCCATTTAAATTAGTCCAATGAAGTAGGAAAAATTTCTAAAACTAATAATATTTATTTCTTTGTTCAATTACTTAACATAATATAGCAACAAAAATGTATTCTGAAGTAGAAGAATTTTCAATTGGTGCTTTTTTAAACTCATTACTTTGCATGATCATTGAACGAGAGGGTCAGTAAGGGAGGACTACGTGAATAGAGGGTTTTTTTGCAATTCACTACTTATATCCCATTAGAAATATATAATATTATTAATTTTATCTATCAAACATATTGAAGAAATATATCAGAATATTTATACATGTGAACAGTAAATGTCTACTATACATAGTGAGAGTTTTATAGGAGGGAATGATAAAATATCACATAAACTACATAAGCATTGACACGAACTAAGTAAATGTTCCATGTAAAACATATTTTTAAGCTTGAATTTCAGGAAGGGTTATTTCAATGAATGCTTCCAGAATGTGGCATAAAGTCAAAATATAATCTACGTTACAGATAGTCTTTGACTTACGACCACAATTGACTCCCAAATTTATGTTGCTAAATGAAACATTTTTAAGTGAATTTTGCCCCATTTTATGACCTTTCCCTGCCACAGTTGTTCAGTGAATCACTGCAGTTGTGAAGTTAGCAACACGGTTGTTAAGTAAATGTGGCTTCCCCATTGACTTTGCTTGTCAGAAGGTTGCGAAAGGCTATCACATGACCCTGGGATACTGCATCAGTTGCATCAGTTGATCAGTTTTGGTCACACGTCCATGGGGATACTGCAACCATTGTAGATGGGAAAAATGGTCATAAGTTATGTTTTTCAATGGCATTGTAACTTTGAACAGTCACTTGTAAGCTGAGGGCTACCTGTACTAGAGGAAATGTACTTGGGGAAATCTTAGAACAGTTTTGGAGGATACATGGTAGACTTCAGACAGAGAGAAAATTGACTCCCTCCTATTTCTGTTGACAGAAGCCATTCCATCAAGGGACGAACTCATTGTATACTATCTGATGTAACTTTTGCAGAGCATCCTATAATCCTCAGTTTAGAATACTTCATTTTAATTATTTAGAATGAATTGGGGGTCGTTGGTATACATTCATATAGAGTCAACATTTTACCTGATATTCTTCTCTTAGTTTATTCAACTCCACCTCAATTCTGTTATTTCTTTCAGTCTGTCTGCAGAGGAGTTGCTGCATATGTTGTAGAGAAGCCATGATCTCCTTGTTTAATAAAAAGAAAAGAAAAGGTGTAATACTTCAGATTATAGGATTACTCTGTAAAGTTCCCTATGATGGAATCATTAAATGCATTTGTGAGGATATGTGCGTATGCGTGTGTGTGTGTGTGTGTATATAATGTTGACATCTTAAATTTTAATATATATTTTTAAGACATACATGCATTCTATTTGTGCCAATTGTTAAATAGGAGTTTATAATATCATAAGAGATTATGAACATGTTTATGAACATGTTTCATAAGAACATGTTGCTTATCTGTAACTGGTTCTTCAAGTGGATAGCTGTACATTCACCTGTATTGATATTGTGCCTGCATAAAGCTATTGCCTGGAACCCTGCATGGCTTTCACTATCCTCATTTTTCTAAAATTCTAAAATTAGTGTGCAATTAATACAGAAAGAGTGGACTCTATGGATATATACTAATGACCCACAATCATAGATAGGCATTCTTCTTCATCATGGCCTCTGTGTATCACACATATAGATAATTAGCAAATTTATTTAAAAGATTAAGGAAGTGTTTTTATTATGTCAACACAGAGGGAAAAAATCATTCAAAAGATGTACTGTCTGGGCTTGAATACTTATGATATAATACCTGAGAAAATGTGTGACCAAAACTCTGTGGATGCAGAAAAACAGTGTGTGACCCAATTAAGACAGATCAAAGAAATAGCATACAGCAGTGATTTAATTCATGTGTACCCAAAAATATCGTACATACACATTTATCTATATTTAGACAAACACACATGCACACTAGTCTTTAGCCCCTTCCTGTTCTGCTGTAAAGAGAGGAAATAATTCAATCCCTGTGACAATTAATTCCACAATATGGGCCCCACAATTGGGAAAGCAGAATTGATAACTTATGTGAAACATAACCTGTTTCTCTTCTTTAAGTCTTGCAATTTCTTCAGTGATTTTTCCATTTAAATCTACTTCCTATAAATAAAATAAGCACATTGAAATCAATTCCACTGGTCCCTCTAGTTGATTTTGTTACATCATAAGCATAGCTCCTCATATTGAAAAGAGGAGTCAAAATTAGAAAACAATATAAGGGGAACTTAATGCCATTATTATACCATAATGTTTACTACTCAATAATATGCTTATTTTAATATACAAGAAATGTAACATAAACTTAAAATGTTACACTGTGTAGGAGGTACAGTGGTGAGATTCAGCCAGTTCGCACCACTTTGGCAGAACCAGTAGCTAATTTTTTGTTGCCCAGGCCCAGAATGGGCTTCCGGAAGTGGCATCCACACAGAGAACCGGTTGTTCACATATTTGAATCCCACCACCGAGGAGGTATTAAGCAAAATTATTTAATATTCAGTGAGCAAGTCATAAATACATTAATTACAGCTGCCTAAAATATAAAATTTAAAGTCACCTTTTTAAAATAAGCATAACCTCTTTTTCTAAATTAATAAGAAATATTGGAAAATACCAATGATTTTTTTTGCTGTAATATTTTTAGCTCCAGTTCCTTTCCTTTCAGACTGAGATCCTCTTCCACTTTGTATTGGTAGGTAACCTTGGATTTTATCACATCTGATGTAACTTTCTTTAGTTCCTTAATAAATAAATATTAATTAAAAATTCATCTATTCAAACTGGATGAAAAGTTAGACTTAAATTAATGCTTTTCTAAAATGACCAGCAGCAAGTTGGATCAAACCTATTACAACAGCGATGGATGCACTATTGGAAAACTTGAAAGATCAGGTTAGGGATAGATCATCATGGAAAAAATCTATTGTAGTGATCTACTGCATGGGATCATGAAAATTTGATAGCTACTTAATCAGTCAAACAAAAAGTCCAAGCACATTATTGGCATTAATAGAAGTTTGGAGAACTAGTTTGATCTAAAGGTTAAGACACTGAACTAGGAATGAGGAGCTGCACTTTAATCCAGCTTTAGGCACAGAAGCCAACTAGCTAACTTTGGGCCAGTCACTCTCTAAGAAGGCAAGGGTAAACCACTTCCAAAAATGTTGCCAAGAAAATAGAACAGACTTGTAAGTGAGAGCCAGTTTTGATACAGTGGTTAAAGGCATGAAACCAGAAGCTGGGAAATCTCTTTTGGCAGGAAGCAGCTAGGTGACCTTAAATGACTTTCAGTCATTCTCTCTCAACAGTGGCCCATTATTTTTGAAAAACCTTGCCAAGAAAACTGAAGGGACTTGTCCAGAAGTCAAAACTAACTCAAGGCCCATAATAAAAATAAATTGGGAAGGACTAGATAGGTGGATAAAAATGCCAAATCCAGTCTAAGCATCTGGCTGATTCTGCAATAAACTATCGTCATCATTATCATCATCACCATCACCATCATCATCATCATCGAAACATTGACATCATTTCAGGAGTGATATTTATGATTAAATATATTCCTTCTACATATGCTGTCTACATTGTTCTTTTTCTGTTTGAACACTACTAGAAATACTGCTGGAAAATGCTAAACAGTTTCCTCTATACTGTACAGTATTGCCATATTACTAAAAGATCTGCCAGAACTTCCTGAAGCAAATCAAAGAAGAAAAATGATCAACAATCTAATGATTTAGCTCACGCTGAGATTTCTAACAATGAAAAATCGGATATAATTTATATTATTAATCCATATAAATAATTGTTGACCTCATAAGGATTAAAGGTGCAGTGCCTAGTCCAATTTACCTGAAATACTTCAAAAGATTTTATTTTTAAAATGTAAAAATGCATTAAAATATGGTATTATTTGCACTTCCTTTTACCTTATTCCTTTCCTTTTCTACCTAGGTTATTCACAGCAGCCAATGCAGCAAATAAACAGTACATGCTTTGAGCTTATTAAATTACAAAGTATAGATCTCAGAGTCATAAATATTCCATCTTTCCATACCTCTTCTCTTTTTCTTTTTGTATGGGGTAGCCTGTTTAATATCTCTCTCTCCTTGAGTGTTCTGACGTTTACTTAGACAAATAGCAAAGGTTATGAATGCTATTTGTAGATAATATCAGGAATTCTTCATAATGGCATAGCACTGAACCAAGTATTCAAATGGTGGTAGTTTTATCTAGGAGGAACTACGTTTGGACTGTTTAACTTTTCTTCATAAAAGTGGAATTCCCCTTATCACAGTCCAACAGTTTAACTGTTCTGGACAAAATCATAAAACAGTGGAAAAACAGAAATAAATATTCCAGTTGCTGAACTTTATGGATATCCGGTTATATAAATACAGCTACTTTTTAAAGAAAATCTATTTCAGTTGTAGTCCGACAGAAGGTGATGTTACAAAGGGAAACTATTTCTAACCCATGGTTCTCTTCAAATGCTGATGATGCTGAAGTGCACACAATAGAGCCAGATTTTTTTTTTTTAAAAAAAAATGCTTTTGCGCTTGCCTAACAAGCATTGCCAAAATGCTGGACTTGCTGACATGACATTTCCTTTTTCTGTTTAGAAGACATGTATAAAGTTTTGTGGTGGCTTATCCTCCTTTGCTCTAACGGAGAGTGCTTTACATCGCAACTTTTACTCCCAGAAGGTGATAGGCCTCTCTCCATTAACTAACAAGCAGGAAGAGAGAGTGAATGCTAAATCAAATATCTTTGGAGAAGAAATTATTTGCCAAAAAAACTGCAGGGACTTGAACGGAAGGTACAGGTACAGGTATAGGTATATGCGAGGGTAGAGGTTCGTTCTCTGAGCTTATGGGTTGGTTTCCAAACCTTTCATTACCAGGCTAGATAACATCTTCAGCGGAGTTTAGGGAATGTCGGTGTCAGTGTTCTGTTTATAAGGGCTTCAGGTATGGGTGTGTCAAGTGAGCCCACAAGACCCTCACTCGACACACCCACACCTGAAGCCCTTATAAACAGAAGAATACTGACATCCCCTAAAATCTACTGAAGATGTTACCTAGCCTGGTAACAAAACGTTCAGAAACCAACCAACAAACTTAAGAGAAAGAATCTTCACCCTCATCCTATACCCAAGCTACAGATATTTGCCACTATTGCATATGTACATGTATTTGTGTATGCAGTGCTTTTTTTGTACAAAAAAAAAGGTGCCAAAACTCACACGTCATACAACCCGCCTTGCCTACCCTACAAGGTTCCATCCAAAAAAGTTGCCAGAACTCCATTCTAAGTGTTCTATGAGAAAAAAAACCCTGTGTGTATGTGTATGTATGTATGTATCTGTGTGTGTGTGTGTGTGTGTGTATGTATGTATAGCACTGTACAAAAAGTACTGTATATGTATAGCACTGTACAAATATCTTATTTATATGCAGCTGAGATATATAACTGGTTCTATGTTTTTCTGTAACACAGGCCATGTACAGCAGCATTGATAGTGGGAGGTCACATCCACCAACTTTTGACCTTTCCGTTGTGGTTCACTGGCTGCACTACAAAAAGCAATGGTAAGAGCCAAGACAAACATTAAATCTGACTACATCTAGGTTGCATTTGATTGAAGATTATGTAGAATTAATGTGTTCCCTACAAATATATTTCACCATTCCTCTGTTTAAAAAAATTAAAAAATTTAATTGATAAATTTAAGTGTTTCATCCAAGGTTTTCTGTAGCTGCATGAAGTTCTGAGGCCATAAATTATATATACCACTGTTACAAAATGAAAAAGTTATTTTTTATAAATTTAAATGTTACCAAGACTCATCATGGCCTACAACATAATAAAATATATTCCATTATACAGCAAATATTGAAAGTACAATAATCAGCAATAACAATAATTATAAAAACACAATGTCTCATCAAATCCTATACTCCAGTAAGAGCATTCAGGTGATAGAATACAGTATTCTACTCTAAGGCTTAAGACACCCCCCAAAAAAGTGAGGGTAGCTATTTCATCCTAGGCACAAAACAAAAGAAGATTATTTATAGCATCAGATACAGAAAAACAGTAGGCACTGTCTTCTTAGGGATTACTGTTTATAACAATTGAGTTGGCAGACAAAATCTTGATAACCTGCAATAAATTATTGGAGCTGATTATTTTAACAGGGTTTCCAATTGTTCTGATTATACGTCAACCTATGTTTGGATACTTTAAACTCACCTGGGGTAAAACAAAATGCACTTCATACCTACCTTTTTTAGGTTATTTATCTCAGACTCTTGTGTTGTATTAATTGCTGACAAATTCTTATTGAATTGAATTGCTTCCACAACTTACATAAGGGGTGGGGTAGGAAACAAAAAAGTAACATTAAAATATCATCTTCATTGTGTTACTTCACATATTCTACAAAGTGAGCTCATTCTAGAAAATGTATTTGTGAACTTTTTTCCTGACAAGAAAGTTAAAATTGCTTTTGAAAAGTTAGAAGCAGTCTCCTTTATTATCATTACTAAGTTGTGTTTTATTAAATTGTGTCCAGAATGTATTACATATTTACCATTTTTCTCTAATTTCCCATGAGCACCTTTTATTATTTCAAATTGATTCATTATAACTGCATGGCATTTTTCAAATTCATTCAGTCTTTTCTGATAATCTTCCTTTGATGAATTGTACAATTGCATCTTGTGCTCCTGCAAAAACAAGGAAAATTCTTTGAACTATTGTATGATGCAATGTCCGTAAAACAATAATTCTAAATCCAGTTACTCTAATGTTAACCTCATTTAAAAGTAGGCTTTCTTTCAAATAAACAAGCTTTTATCTGTAATAATCCAGAGACATTGGGAGTCAGGCTGAATATAAATTAATAATAAAATAATAATAATAAATAGTGACCACATTAGTAGACCAGCAAAACACTGACACATAGTATACCTAGATTTCAGTAAAGCATTCAACAAAGTAGACCACAATCTACTGCTTGGTAAGCTAGAAAAAGGTGGAATAGACAACATCACCACTAAATGGATTTGTAGCTGGCTGACAAACCGTACTCAACGAATACTCCTCAATGGTACTACATCCACTTGAAGAGGAGTAAGCAGTGGGGTACCATAAGGTTCCATCTTAGGACCAGTACTCTTCAATATCTTCATCAATGACTTAGATGAGGGAATAGAAGGGGAACTCATCAAACTTGCAGATGACACTAAACTGGCAGGAATAGCCAACACCCCAGAAGACAAGCTCAGGATTCAAAAAGATCTTGACAAACTTGAACAATGGGCCTTATCCAACAAAATGATTTTTAATGTGGAGAAAAGCAAAGTTTTACATTTAGGCAGGAAAAATCAAACATACAAGTACAGATTGGGCAAGACCTGCCTCAAAAACAGTAACTGTGAGAGGGATCTTGGACGATCACTTGACTATGAGCCAGCAATGTGCATCAGCAGCCAAAAAAGCTAATACAATCCTCGGTTGTATAAACAGAGGCATAGCACCATACTACAAAAA